CTGTCCGGTATCGCTGTTGCGGTCTTGGTCACACCTTTGAACTCCTTCGCAGCCAAACGCTACACGGGCGCTCAGGTCAAGCTCATGAAGATGAGAGATCAGAAGCTGGCCATTGTCACAGAGGTACTCCAGGGAATTCGCCAGATCAAGTTCTCAGGCCTCGAAGCACAGTGGGAAGCCCGGATCCGGGAGGCGCGAGAGAAAGAATTGAGCGCTCTGTGGAGGTCGTTCTTTTTCGACATCATTCTGATGGGCATCTGGATCCTTGGGCCCATTGGCCTCTCTGCAGTCTCGTTGACAGTCTATGCCATGCTCCATGGTGGCCTCTCTGCCTCGGTCGCATTTACTGCCATGTCCGTCTTCAGTTCCCTCGAGCTTTCCCTTGCCATCTTGCCCGAGATCATCTCCCAGGGCCTGGAGGCCAAGGTCAGCGCGGACCGAATCGATACCTACATGGCCTCATCCGAAAGGGTGATTACTACCATGCCCGCCGATGAAGTCGCGTTCAAGGATGCCTCGGTCGCATGGCCATCGGAGCAGGAAGCTGGAACCGCAGAGGACACCGATCGCTTTGTCCTACGCAATCTCGACCTTGCCTTTCCCAACCAGGGCCTCAGTATCGTGTCGGGTCGCACAGGGTCTGGCAAAAGTCTACTCCTGGCTTCGATCCTTGGGGAAGGTGACTTGCTTCAGGGAGCAGTACATGTGCCTGTACCACCTTCCATCGAAGATCGGTTCGATCATCGGGCCACGAGTGCCAATTGGATCATCGATTCAGCCATTGCCTATGTCGCCCAAATCCCATGGATTGAGAACGCAACAATCAAGGATAATATCTTGTTCGGACTGCCCTACGATGAAAAGCGTTACCGGAAGACTATCTCTGCGTGCGCGCTGCAGAAGGACCTGGAGATGTTGCCCGATGGCGATCTGACCGATATCGGAGCGAACGGGGTCAATCTTAGTGGTGGCCAGCGATGGCGAGTCTCGTTTGCACGCGCCTTGTATTCGCGTGCGGGCATCCTTATCATGGACGATATTTTCAGTGCTTTAGATGCTCATACCGGGCGTTTTGTCTACGAAAACGCACTCACCGGTGAGCTTTGCCGGGGCAGAACCCGCATTCTGGTGACGCATCATGTTGGCCTGTGTCTTTCTCGTGCGGACTATTGGGTGGAATTGGAAGATGGAAACGTTCGCTATGCTGGCCCGGTCACTGAGGACAAACGCTCAAATCACCCAGGGCACCCTCTAAATGGGGGGGATGGCGGTGATGAATTAGCGCTCATCGAAGAGGAATCCGTTGAACAGGTAATCTCCCATACTTCCCATCGGCGGCTTAGTACTGTACAGCAGGAGACGACAGCCAAGCCGGCTGCGGCGAAGAAGTTTGTCGAGGACGAAAAGCGAGAGGTTGGCTCTGTCCGATTCTCAGTTTACAAGGCCTATTTCTCTATCGGCGGCCACAGACTTCGATGGTACATCACGGCGATTGTATTTCTCGGTTATACTTCCTTCTTGGTCGGCAGGGTAAGCATCAACACGCACCTTCTTGAACATCAGTATATGCCATCGGACTTGGACTGACTGACATTTCTCACAACCATAGTCTTGGTGGATTAACGTGTGGACTGGCTCGTCATCGTCATCGCAGACCCATGCCAGCCTCAAACAGTACAGCATGGTTATGTGGCAACAGCCTATGTCGAATGTCAACACAGCACCCATAGACTCAGACCTCAAGATGTACCTAGGGATCTATATCGCAGTCAGTGTGCTTGCATGCGTGATGGGCACCCTGCGCTTCTACTTGATCCTCTTGATGAGTGTCCGCGCAGCCCGCAATCTCTTCAACCGCCTGACATACGCCGTGCTCCGTGCTCCCATGCGCTGGCTGGATACTGTACCGCTGGGTCGAATCTTGAACCGTTTTACATCCGACTTTAATTCCGTGGATTCGATCATCGGATACCAGCTAGCCTTTGTGGTGACGCAAATGCTTAATGTCTGCGGAATTGTGGTGGCAGGCGTTCTGGTCAGTCCACTGGTGATTATCCTCGCCGTGATCCTTCTGGTCGTTTGTCTCAGCTTGGCCCTGAAATACTTGGCGGGGGCGCGAGAGGTCAAACGCCTCGAAAGTACTGCCAAGAGCCCTATCTTCGAGCATTTCGGGTCCAGCCTGGCGGGACTAGTCACCATTCGCGCATTCAGCAAAGCAGATGTCTATACGGGCATGATCTACAAGAGGATCAACGCGCACGCGCAAGCCTGGTGGGCCATGCTGCTGTTCAACCGATGGCTGACTTTTCGCATGAGCGTCGTTGGCGCACTCTTTGCCACGTTGACTGCGGCTTTGATTGTGAGTCTGCCAAGTATCTCAGCCTCGCTCGCCGGGTTTGCACTCAGCTTCGGGTTGCTATTCAACACGGCGATTGGTATGGCGCTGCGGAGCTATGCAGATGTCGAACTCAGTATGAATGCGACCGAACGAGTCATCGAGTACTCCAAGATCGAACTCGAGAACCAGGGCGGCGTTGAGCCTCCCGCGGCGTGGCCTACCGAGGGTCGTCTGGAGGTCCAGGATCTGGTCGTAGGATACGCGCCTGATTTACCTCCGGTTCTCAAGGGTTTAAGTTTTGCTGTTGAGAAGAACCAACGAGTTGGCGTCGTTGGCCGTACGGGTGCTGGGAAGTCGTCATTGACTCTGGCTCTATTCCGAATCCTCGAGGCCCGCGAGGGTAAAGTCTTGATTGATGGGCTGGATGTTGCTAAACTTACGCTGCACAGCCTGCGCACTCGGCTCGCTATCATCCCTCAGGATCCGGTCCTATTCTCCGGCACCGTGCGGTTCAACCTTGACCCTTTCGAGGAGTACACCGACGGAGAACTGTACGACGCCCTGGCACGGGTGCATCTCATTTCCGAGAACGACGAGGAGGTCGCTACAGCTGCCGACCCAACACATCGTCCAAATACAAACAAATTTACCTCGCTGTCTGCTCCAATTTCAGAAGGGGGTCTGAATCTGTCCCAAGGCCAGCGTCAACTCCTCTGCCTTGCACGCGCAATTGTATCGCGCCCGAAGATCATGTTCTTGGACGAAGCCACATCGGCCGTGGACATGGAGACGGATGCCCTCATTCAGCAGTCCATCCGCGCCGAGTTCGGCCGCAACGATACCACGCTGCTGGTAATCGCGCACCGACTGAGTACCATCGCAGATTTTGACCGCATCTTGGTCATGGATGCCGGACGCGCGGTTGAATTCGGGGCACCCAAGGAGCTACTGGGGATCGAGAACGGGGTGTTCAGGAGCTTGGTAGATAACAGTGGCGAGAAGGAAGTGTTGGAAAAGATTATTCTTCGGGATGACTAGACAGCCGGGGTCGCCGGAACAGCGATGGTCCAGCACATCTGCTCTTTCAAGATCGGATGAAATTGATACTGTATCTAGTATCTAATGCTCATCCGCCTCAATTCACTCTCGGGTGTATTGCAAGACTGCGGGCATTGATAGGCCAAATAAAAGCGAGCAGGAAGAACAATAGAAAGAAATCGAGGGGCTAAAGATCAAATATCATGGCATTGAGCACTTCATAGAGGTATTCGATCTACTGGACTGGAGCTAAAAAGAAGGCGTGGACTCAGGATAAGAAAAAGTATGACCAAGGGAGCGATTGGAGGACTCCCATGCGAGTGATGTATTTGGAAGGGACCGACAACATTGTGGTTCACTGTGGTGTTGTTATCTATGCAGGTCCAACGGTCTGGGTAAGGGTTACTTTTTTAAGTGTTCTTGAGGGGCTCTCCCTTCCGCATTGTGAGCGGTCTCGTTCTCGTTCTGATTGTTTTTGTTCAGCATTCTGGAATATATCGATATCTGTCTCATCTGTATTTCTCTTCCCTGCGCCACGTAATGTATACAAAATACACATTCAGTTGTATGCTGCATTCTTGCCGCAATAATTGAATTACATTCTTGCCTCTCCCAGATTTTGCATGGTTGATTTGCATTCCCGACCGTCTCATCGCCCTTGTAATATATGTCCACATCAGCACAAGGCAGCAAATGCTTCTGCGAGAATAACCAGCCTCGATCCAGTTTCTAGAGGTGCATCGGCTTGGACTCACGGACAGCCTCAATTAGTGACCCACCTCTCGTTGTTCCTCTGTGCTTGAGTGCATAGCACATGGAACTATGTGCGCCTGGGATCTTAAGCCATTGTAGTCTAAGCTGCGTGGCCTGAAATACTCACTATCAGCCACAGCCAGATTAGCGGAATCATTCTGCCCAAATTGAATGTATGAATGGAAATGTCCTTCGTATTGTCCGCTTGAGGACCACGAGCTCCACCTCCACGGGGCACCTGCTGGCTACAGCTAAACCACCAGAGAATGAGATTGGTTCCAGATTGGGAGAGGGATCCAATTTACATGAATGGTTTGCTCGCGGACAAGAACAAGAAAGGAGGCGGAATTACCACTTTGCTCAACAAAAAAAAAGCCAGATCTATAGCACAATACACCCGCCTGCCGTGCAGCTTTGGGGGTATGACTTGCTAATCCATGAAGCAAACTGACAATAGCGCACAATCTACAACTATCCTAACCTACGGGTTCTCCACCGGACTCATATCGTTCAATCCGACAGAATCAAACAAAATTGTAAAGCAAACACACCACCTTGATACTACTCATCGCGAGTATATAAAACCATTAAGTGCTTATGCAACCGGCGACCTCTCCAGCCCTCAGCCATGGATCTTACTAACAACCCTCCTCTCTCTGATCGTCCTTATTGTCTTTCCCCAAACCACATCTTTCTTACTTGTAGACCAATCCTGTATGTAGCCGTCTTTTCAGGACAATGCACCCAGCACGTAACCCCTCTCCTTTGGGCAAGACTTTCTTCCACTTAAGCAGGAACTTTTTCTTATTCATGTAGTCTCACCTCGCGCCAGCGGCACCCACTTACATTCTCCCTTGAACTTATCGCGACAGGATATCCTCCAACTCTGCATCGTATGACACTGCCACGACCAGGGCAAGGATCAGGAAAAGTTGTATTTGGATTCAAACTGAATGAGCAGCATTCATCTGTATCCGGTATGTCTCATTCAGGCGCGCTATGTTTCAACTTTCGTAGTCATTGGATATGACGCGCAGATAGCAGGTAGACAAGACTTGAGAGATTACGCCCAGGTTGCTGGCTCGGCCATCGGCAAGTGTGTCGCACGCCGGCCGGAGTGTAGATACTTCTTCGCGAGAGGAAGAATTCATATTATCTTCATGCTACTCATCAACGTGAAACCTCGGTGCGAGCCTACGTACGTGGTTCCTAGATCACAATCGGGGAAGAAGAATCAGCTGGAGGCCGCGAGGCAGAGATGCTACGGGGCGGAACAACGAAATCACGTTTTCTCCCAAGCATTCCCAACTGTTACAGTGTCTACAAGGAATGGCTGCGACACTCGCGTACAGTTCCTCCAATCGAAGATCTTGTACATGATACAGCGCCATCTCACCGTCCACATACTCAGTCATCACCGTCTCGTGTATTTCGGTCGCCATGGGTTTATCCTGCCGTTCCGTGTTCAAAGAGGGCCGGGAGGACGAGCCACGTCAGCGGAGCTCAAGGGCTGAAAGATCGAAAAGGCTCATCATGAGCTGTCCCACTGGTTAAGCTGCTGTTGACTGCGGAAAGAGTATGTCTTTTCAAACCTCAGGGTGTGTGTCATCCCTGATTTTGTGGTCTGGACGCTGACGCCCTCCAGGCTTCCTCAGAGACGAACGGGACAGGCGCGGGAGCGACTAAGATCCTCTCCTTTTCTCTGAGGCTGAAGAACAATGGGTGTGCAAACAGAGGCAGCAACAATAACGAGACGAAGAAAGATTGACCACCTCAGATATCCCCATCCAGTAGCCAAATCTGGAGCATCAGAATGCCTAATCTAAACGCACGCCTCGCCAAGGCAGGATCCGGGGAAGGGGTACAACACTCCGGAGATGGTGAGAGCCACAATGGCCTCCAACCCCGTTTCCAGCCCAGGTTCGCCGAGAGCGACGTGGTTTTCCTGGACAGATCATACAAACAGGGTCCCTAGGAGAAACCGGTCTCGAGACTGGATTTGCCGTTGATGAAAAGGATTTTCGTATCAGATGTGGTATAACTAACAGCCTAGTTATTCTCAGATCCGACGAGGTTGTATATCGTGCTGCGTCCTACACGAGAAGACACCGGAATACGCCGGCCCCATCCTTGTCAAGGCTGTTAGTGGTTGTGGCAATCGAATCCGTGTTCGGGATGTCCGCTGTCGATTACTGGAGATAACCGTAGAGGACACGTAGACGCATCATTCAAACAGAGAAAGTCTTTCATGAGCAGGCACGTGGACTCGACCAGTGGCGGAAAAAGCACGTATCCTGGTCAACCTCGGGTGCCTAATGAGATAAATGCCGGTAAATCGAGTTTGAGAGCGCGAGACCAGCCAGTTAAACAGCAGGATCAGCCCCTGTTTCTTTGAGCAAGTGCTCCTCGGCGGCCTGCAGGACTTCAATCATCGATGCGTACAAGCCCTCGTCTTCTGACTTCCACATCCGGCCACCAGGAAACACGACTCGTCTCAAGCGGTTGACCCATGGCATTAGCGGCTTATAATACTCGGTGAAGAAGTTTCTCATCGTGCGAAAGAAGAGGTCCTCATCAGACACAGTGCCCAACTTGGTTGTCGCCAGAGTTTCCATTTTAAGGAAGTTCCACTCGTCGAATTCTTCCACAACATTCCCATGGCCCGGCCCGTGATAGTGGATGCAAATCCAGAACAGAACCCAGAAAAAGGACTCCAAGTCATGCATAAAGCTGTGTTGCTCTCCCAGAAGTGCCCCGACCGCCATGAATGCTCGAGTCCCCGTCTTACCTTGGGCACCAGAAGCCTTGACCCGTGACTCCTTCACGCTAAGGTCGAGGTCAATGAGGAATCCCGGCCACTGGGTGTCGCTCTGCTCATTGACCATCATATTGTTGACAGAGATATCCCGATGGAGTAGCCCAGCCTCACTGCGTAACGACTGGTGACCCTGGATGCAGCCCACGAAGGCCCGCAAAAGGACCGGAGGAGAACTTGCCTTGTAGATCGGCTCGCCGTAATCCCTAATCACCACTCGACGGTGAATCCGGTTGGGCTGGGCGCTCCGGACCAAACTAAGCGATGCCGATCTGGATTGATGTCGCTTGCGAGACGAAAGCGCGAGGCGGGCAGGACTGGAGGATCGCTTTCGGCCCACGATGCTGGTGCTACTGCGGCCTTCCGGGGGGCAGGTCATTGTCCGGGGACTCGGTGTGTCCGAGGACCGACCAGACCGATGATTGTCCGCCGTGGTGATATCTAGTCCTTTCCGGACATTGTGTCGAATATCATCATCGGTGCCTGACACCTGCACCGTCTCGTGATGGTAGTACCGAGCAACGTTGACCACCCCCAACTCCGTTATCTCCTGCAACAGCTCACCCTCGTTCACCCGCTCCGTGTATTGCCAAGAGTCTTTCACAACCAGAGGTTGATCGGGAGAGCAGTCCAGATGGGCCTTCCAGCAAGTCGTTGCTCGACCGGCTACACACGCGGCGCGCCGGATCACTCGGTCTATGATAAGGCGCTCTGTCCGGTTTTGACGTTGGATGTTGATTACATGCCGGCCTTGATCGTTATAGATGGTTGGATCAAAGCCCAAGTCCTCATCGCTCATCCAGAGAAAGCCCAGAATTGTCGAGACAAACCGAAATGCGTCTTTATGTATGTCGAACTTGTCGGATGCGATGCCCCCCAAGCGGTCATACTCCCAGATCCTCATATAGGGCCCGCAGAGAGTGAAGCCTATAACAAAGCGCCGGGTATCTTGAGCTGCCAGGACCTCTCGCGCATATCTCCCCAAGTCCAGCCAGGCCTTCGAGTGAATGTCGGCCGCCGGATTGCTTTTGAGCTCGCCGGGTATTAGAATCTCCCGCCAATGGCACCGGGGAGCCCGGGGGACTTCACGGTCGGTGACGCTCACTAGGCCAACGTCAATCTTGCGTTCAGCCGTAGAGCCTTTGATTGGGGTGTTGGGCTGGGCAAGGAGTCGCCGTCGAACGGACGGGGTTGCTGGGTCGCTTTCAGCCAAAGCTGCGAGCTTGGTGATGATATCCGCCAGCCAGGTTAAAACATCCGCTTGATTTGCGTCGTTCGGCCACCCTACCCATCGGCCCTCCACCAGAAGCTGTTCCTCCCCCTCCCTACATTGGGCAAGTACAGCGCCCGCGGCAACCTCGAGACCAGCAATGTTCCCAAAGAATCGTTCAGTGAAGCCCGCAAGGCCAACATAGAGAACGCCAAATTCTGCCTTGAGCACGCGATCCACATCTTGGCGATAATCGGAGGAGTTGGCAAATGCGCTGGTGTTGCACCTCCAAGGAGTCTGTGAGAAGGAGGAAGCAGTCGGTCGAGGCGGGGGCGTCGACTCGAGCACGGCACAGTAGACCAGCTGCCAGATGAGGATGTCGTCAGGTGCGGTGTTGACCAAGACAGCTTCTAAGAGTGGCTTGATTTGGTCGAGGTGGAAGTCGTCGGAGTTAATGGCGGTACTGAATCTTGAAAGATCGTGGTGGAGGTTCTTGCCGGGTCCACTGGCTGGGAGGAGGCGAGAGGCTTTGCAGCTCTGAAGTGCCGAAATCAGATCCAAAGAGAGACCCTGGGCATCTGCAGCAAGGGGAGATGGGGAACGTTAGTCGGAGAAGCGAATTGGGGGAAGTGGCCACTGCAGCTGTTGACTATGTCTCTATCACCTTCACTTGCAAACTGACGGAGCGCGTCCTGCGGGCACGGGCGCGAGATGCCTTTGCTAAAGCAGATGGACTTGAAGGAGGAGTGAACATAATCCAGACGCGACCCAATGGGATTGGATTGGATGATTTCAAGATGGAGATCATCCAACATCCTGGCGCCACGATACCAAAGACATGATGATATGGATGGGAAAGAGCGTGCCCGGTCGCGGTCGCTCGCGCGTTATGATATTTTCGCGTTGATGAGTCAGCGCCGGCCGGTTCCTGCCTGTCTGCCTGGGTGAAATCGTATCCAAGCGGCGAAGTAGCATAACTTGATAGCCTACGCAGTGAGGTTTCACTTGGGCACTATAAGAGCGGTGTATAACATAGACAGAGAAGTCGGCCGATGCCTGAGATATATCACATACAGGAGCTTGTGTGCGCGGATGGACATCCCCAGCACTGTCCTGTCCTTACAAGAAACCAGCTCAATTGAGTTAGTGGTTACCTAGTAATTTACCTACAGAGTAGTAACCTACCTAGTCCGGTAGTACCTACCTTAGTCCAAGCTGGATAATACTAGCTAAGTCAAGTGGCTTACAGTCCAAAGCGGGGAAACTGTCGCGACAACACCTTTCCCACCCCACGATAACAGCAACGTCACGAAAGGTACCAGGTGGTTTCCAGCCCAACTACATCAGAATGGGTGATACTCACGATGATCGACGTCTTGATAAGAGCAGTCAGTAGTTCGAGGTGTCATTGTCGAGCAGTGCTGATTTGGAATCATCAGCGCCACGTTCGAAGGTTTTCAAGGCCTGTGAAAGTTGCCGACAACGCAAGGTGAGGTGTGATGGCCTACTGCCCTGTCAGTCCTGTGTCCAAAGATCTATCCCTTGCTCTTTCCGGCAGAGTGCGAGAAGGCGACTGTCAAATCAAGGTCAGAAAGTACAGACTGCACCCAGCGTTGGCGAGCGTATGCCGGTTCTCAGTGATGATTGCGCTGCACAGTCCGCGGCACCAGTTCTGCCATGGAGACTTCGACATCAGAACCATCTTAACTACATCTTGGATGCTCTGCATGTAGTTGATGGCCCGTCCGGGCGGGGGAAAGTGACGAGAAGCTTTGGCTCCACGTCGACAGTCACCGTACTAAATATGATATTGGATTTGATCGCCCGACTGGACGGCTCTTCACCCAATAGCTTGGCAACAGCATCCCAGAGCAAGCCCCATACATATGTTCTAGAGTATCTACGCCAGGTGATTGCGAGATGCGAGGTCCATCCGCCGCCGCCCTTCAGCCCTAGCCCACCAGGCCCGCTGAATACGGTCCCGCTACAACTTCAGAGCCTCCTGCTCGAGCGATACATTGCAATGGCCTGGAAGACGCTCCCATTTCAGTCGCCCCACAGTCTTCAAGCACGTCTACCCAGTCTTTCTGCCCAGCCAATATCACAGCTGCAAGCCGAAGATCAGGCTCTTCGTGCCATCATGTTGCCCATACTCGCTATCGGGTCCATTACAACCGGCTACCCGGAACTGGGAGAGATGCTTATTGGCGAGGCACAAAGAAATACAATCACACCCTACTACCTGGGTGATATTCTAGCTTTGCAGAGTGATTTGTTGATGATAAGTGGTCGCAGTTTATCTTTGTCCCGGTATTGAAGCTGACTGCGGGTTTCCACATCCAGTATCACATCGACTCAGGCTCCTTCGAATCCGCCTACTTACGGCTGGGAATGGCACTTGCAAAACTTCTGGCGGCTGGCATGGACAAACCAATGCGTTCCCCTCACGAACAGGCTATCATCTCGGCTTTCTGCTGTAATGAGAGGTTACCAAGCCCGCCCCGGACCTAGGCACATGTCACTGATCGCGATTGCAAATAGTCTTTTATGTATTGCTCTAGGACGAGAAGCTGTCTATTCTAGCAGCATCAGATACCTGCCGCAGAGCGACCATACCACCATAGGGTTCATGCACCCGTTCTATCGCATTCTTGCCGATATTCAGCGTCTTCACCGTCCTCAAAGCCCGAACTTTATGGAGCTATGGAATGCTTGTTGTGCACTTCACCAGCGTCTTTTGACTTTCTGGTCATTGGATGATCCATTCCACGCTTCCGAGGACGGAGACGACCTGAATATGGGATCAGTCTGTATGTGTCTTAGACTCCTTACCTGGCATTCTGAGGGGTTTCTAACCTGTTTTACCGTGCTTTTTTACTCAATCCTTATTCTATATCGACCATTCTTGATTCTTCGCGCTCTGGAGAACAATCGTGATGTTCAAGGTGACGGGGACCTTAGTGATAGTTCTGCCGGGCGTGAAAGGGTGAAGATCATGTCTAAGACGTGTCAATACTCCATTGATGCTGCAACGAAGACCATCTCTTTTTTTCATGGGCTATATGAGACGGACTTGATACAAAAGGTCAGAAAACTTGTATAATTGTCCACAAACGTTCGCCTGTCTAACATTTTACAGTACCTCCCTCTGAACGCCTTCTTTCTTGAGAATGCTTGCTATGCTTTTATAATCGATAGCCTGTGGGGCGACAGGAGATCGTTGCATCTTTCGCACATCCAAGCCTGCCTGCACTGCATGGAGCAGACACAGGACCAACCGGTGACTTCCTCGCGGCTTTCTGTTACAAAGGATATTCTTGAGCGGACGGGAGTGTTTCCAGCCAGCAACAACCCACTTTCAAGTCTCTCGCCATCTCAGTCTGGAGTTCTTTGGATGAACCAATTCTTGGAGAACCACGTTCTCGGTAATTAAGAAACAATATTCAGCTGTCAAACCCAGTTCGCCTTAAGCTATATGTAGCTAGGCTGGAATCCATATCTTTTGTATGAAGATAGAATCCGGGAAACTGCGGGAACCCCAGATGGACTCGCCGATGGACCCCGAAATGTCCGAAACTGACCGATGCATAATCCATGCCCTCATTCTGAGTTGTGCTATTTATTGCTACCTCTCCGGGATACACAGGGCTGGGAGATTCACTCGCTTGTTTATTTCGCTTTCGATCGCAATCTCCACCGCTATTTCTATTGTGAGTTGAGTAAGTCAAGTATCAACATATCTTGCCATACGCTGCAATTGCGTGCTAGTATGTACATGATCTCAATGGGGGTTTCTATAGTAGCAAATAATTCCCCATGACGACTTCATACAGGCTATAAGCCAGTTTCCCCTTCGCTATATCCGTCAAGACCAGGCTGATTGCATGTCCGGACCACTCAGGTAGAGCATGACCTGCTGGCCTTGTAGCTTACCGTTATAGAATTGAAGGACCTGGAGGGTTTCACCCGTGGCTGCGGTAGGAGCCAACAGCGACATGTTGCCTGAAGCTTGCTTTTTCGCCAACCACTTGTCCTGCTGCGCCTGTGCCTCTTTCATATCGTTCGGGATGAAGGCAGAAATTTCCCCATAGGGGTAGATCTTGCCTGGAATGATGGCACCAGTAACAACGATACCGTACTGCTCGTCAATGACCAGGTTGAGCCGTGCATCCGCATCAGCAGGTCGATCATGTCTCCAGCTACATCCCAGGGGAGTAGTCGAGCCATCTCCATCTGGGCCAGGGTCGATGACACTCCAGCCTTCTTCGGTGAATTGGCACTCCTCCGCGACGGCAACCGATAGCGTGTCATTTGGGTTGAAGGTCGCGGCGCTGAGACTTTCCAACACCGCGCGAGTCGCCTTCTGACGATCGGCTGGTGGCGACATCCACCGCTCATAATTCCTGGGCAGCTCCACTGCGGAGAAAGAGAACCCGTGGTCACCACGGGAGCGGTTCACGTATAGCTCTAGCTGGGTGATTTGTCTGTCAACAACTTTGATCCGAGCCCATAAAACGGATTTCTTCGTCTCACTTCCTTCGGTGACGTCGAGCGAGAAATACGCTGAGCCATTGATAGTATCAATTGCTAGCAAGGTAGGCGAGCCTGCGCTTGTGACGGTCCGCCAGAGAGTCATCATACCCAAAGCTGTCGGGTGGGAATTCTCGGTTGCATAGTAGGTGGGTGCAAGAGGCAAAATTTCGGGATTATGCAACAGCATAGATGCAAGAACCTGGTCGACAATGGTTGTCATGCAGTCACGCGAGCAGGCGTTCTTAGAAATCAGAGAAACGCTCTTCTCAGTCAGACCGGCAGCAGGCATTGCAACACCACCCAGTGCAAACACAAAGGCTGCAGCTGCTGTTGCCACTGAAAACTTCATTTTGGGGTATACGTCGTTGATCGACCACCCTTTAAAGAAAGAGAAGCAATGTACAAGTCCGGGGAAGATGCTGGTAGGAAGGTAAGTTGATCAGGGCTCACAGGCCAGGAAATTACACCTCTTTTATGTCCACCACGGTGTCCTCCAGCATGTAGCAAATGTAAAGGTAACGCCTTTTCTTTTGCGATGCCCACATTCCGATGTTCACTGAACATCCTTTGGCTCATTCATCACACTACAATGAGCGAGACAAGTGACGGTCTGGGTCGATTGCCCCGTATGGCCCTGGGGGTTCGAATATCTGCACCTTGCAAGTCTCAAGTCTTAACGTGGGCTACCTGAAGAAATTGCTACTAGAAACCGGCAGGCGAGAACCATATCATCATTTCTTCACACGACTTTCCTAGTCGACCTTCCCTCTTGAGCGCGACCAAGTCCTTCAGTTAGTCCTGTACAAAATGTATACATCTGACATTGATACGTGGAGTGCCGACGTAGGTTAGTGAAGGAAGAAATTAAGCTCGAGTCGCGGAAACTGGGTCCCTCGCCGAAGAAAGGCTCCGTTCACTGCTGCGTATGAGGGGGTCCTTGTAGGTAGGTGGTTGGGAGTTGGGGATTCTGGAATCAGGAGGCTCGGAATTTGGTGGGTCTCTCGGACTTTTATGGGTCCCGCGCAAGTGCGGGGTGCGGAGGTGTTTCCCTGGGCATTTTCTCACAGTCCCTTCATAATACTAGCTAACATGTCATTCGAGGAGTTTATGTCCCATCGGCAAGTGGGCTCTGTCGGCTCATCGTGCGGGGCCCCGCCTCATAGTTCGGCTTAGACCCTGTTCGCTCGCTGTGTGGGGGTGGCATGCCTCGCCTCTACGGAGTTTCATTTAAATATGGAAAGATGGATAGTCGGGTTAGTGATAGACCGATCCACGCAGAATGGAGAAGTGACACCACGAGGTTTCTCTCATTATGCTATTCAGGAACGTAATGGCTTGGTGGGAACCTGTGGCTATAATTGACCCTCCCCCCTCCCAGCCATGAGGACAAGTGAAGGGTACAAAGAGCGTTCTAAACCCTGGAAATATCCTTGATCTGGCTCTACCGCAATGAGGTCAATCAAATGGTTCAGTCTGGTAAGCTTTTTACCGATTCCCGCAGCGGTTTACGCAACACCATTCAATCAGCATGAACTGGTAGGCCGCGATGTTGGCATAGGGCAACTTCCAAAGCCATCCACCTACGATGCGCCTCGCTTCCGGTGGTGGTGGCCCGGCGGTTGGGTGGAACCTGATGTTGTGGCGAGCGAACTGCAGTCCATCGCCGCGGCAGGATTTGGTGGGGGAGAAATCGGCGATGTTGAAGATAGCATCAAGGTCGCGATGGACCCGCGAATATATGGTTGGGCAAGGGATCGATGGAATGCCGGGGTGCTCGCTGCCTATAAGACAGCCCAGAGGTAAGTGACTGCACTGGGGGATAAGAGGGAGTCATTTCCTGCTTACTGACCAGAACAGACTGGGCGTTTATGTGGACATGACACTGGGTCCCCACTGGCCGACTGGAGTTCCGGGTTTCACGCCAGACTCTCCAGAAACCTCCAAGGAATTGGTCCATGGAAAGTTCTTGCTTGCGCCTGGACAATCTTACGCGGGATCCCTTCCTCTTCCCATGGCCAAGCCCTCTGGTGAGGTGACTGGCAACCCATCGGTCAACGCAACCGCGAAGCTGGTTGCCATTCTCGCTGCCAGAACGAGTGCAACATCAGCTAATCAGACAGTCGTGGAATTTGAACCGTCTTCTGTCGTGGATCTGACAACGCATTATCACCAACACCAACTGTCGTGGACGGCGCCAAAGGACGGGAATTACATGGTTGTTGCAGTGTACGGCCGAGGGACGGGCCAGATCCAGAATATGTACGACGGCAACCCCAATGCGCCCAAACTCACCTATCCTTCTCCGGCTTACATTGTCGACCACTTCTCCACCGCGGGCGTCGACGCCTCTGTGAGCTATTGGAACAACCATATCTTGAATGACGAGCTGCGGCAAATCATGAAGAGTCAAGGAGGGTCCATTTTTGAAGACTCACTCGAGCTCAAGTACAAGCAATATTGGACGTTGAACTTCATGGAGGAGTTCAAGAAGCGACGCGGTTACAGTTTGACCCCATATCTATTCTATGTCCTAAAGGATACCACCACCTTTTCCGGTAATGACGAAGTCGCCAGCGGAGTTGAGTACGATTTTTACTCCACGATCACAGATCTCTACATTGACTACCGCGTTCAAGGGTTGAAAAGGTTTGCCAATGGGCTCGGGCTGAAATTCCGCCTGCAGCCCTACACAGCGACACTTGACTCTTCACGTGCAGCTGCAGCGGCGGATATTCCCGAGGGCGAGTCCCTCGGTTTTGAGGGTGACAAGGACGCTTTCCGGGTTCTGGCTACAGGTCGAGATGTGGCCGGTCGTACGAAGATCCTTTCCAACGAGCTCGGCGCTTACATGGGCAAGGCATATGGAGTCACTTGGAACTTCCTTCTTGGGACTGCTAACCTGGATTATTCTCTCGGGGTTAGCCACGCAGTCATCCATGGCTTTCCATACCGTGACGCGCCCACGAGTGCATGGCCTGGGTTTGCACCTTTCACGCCGCTCGGCTCCTCGAGTAATGGGTTTGCAGATGCGTGGGGTCCGCGGCAGCCGCAATGGCTTTTCGCGTCAAATGCGAGTGTCTATATGGCCCGCGCTCATAGCCTCCTGCAAACAGGCTCACCCTCGGTGGATGTGGCAGTTCTGAATACCGACTGGGGAGTTACGGCAACGTGGGATGATACTGGGTTGAACGATGCGGGTTATTCCTACCAGGTAAGGCCATTTTTGGTGGAGGCCGGAGCGCTGTGCCGGATAGTGTCGCTGATCAAAGCCCAATAGTTTCCAACTGCAGAACTCCTGAGGGAATATTCCGCCACCGTCAGGAACAAGCATCTTCTCCATGACGGTCCTCGATACAAAGCTCTTCTGATTGATAACACCACTTACCTGGATCTCGAGAGTGCGAGGCAGGTTCGCTCGTTCGCCGAGTCAGGTCTACCGGTGGTGATCGTTGGAGACGCTCCGTCTCGACCACAATCTTTCTGCACCAACTGTTCCGAGACCAAAGCTCAGATTGAGGAGATCTTCAAGTCAATCCTGTCACTTAGGACGACCAAAAAAGTCTCCTCTCAAGCGGATGCTCCTGCTGCTCTCAAGCTCCTTGGCATCTATCCATCTGTCCGGTACTTCACATCATCTAACGTGTCTACGATTACCACCAGACGTCGCATCAGCAATTCCGAATCCATCTATTTTGTTTACAGCTCTACCGCGCTTACCGAAACAGTTTTTCTAGAGGGGGAGGGTTATCCGTTGATGTTGAACCTCTGGACTGGGGACGTTACGCCCATCGCTGCATTTGACACAGCTGGTGGGTACACCAGTGTCAACCTGTCCCTGGGCGAGAATGCCGCCAAAATGCTCTACCTCGGCAACAGAAACCCATACGGCCTTCCCAATCTTGACAGGTATGTCACTGCGACCAATGCTGATGTTGTCGCTCAGTCGCAGAATATATATTTGAGAACCAGCAAGAATGGAACCCACACTGCAGAACTTTCAAACGGAAAGTCCGTCAGTGTTACCTTCAGCAATGTGCCATCTCCAATTATTCTCAGCTCTTGGATTCTATCCGTTGAAGACTGGTCTCCTTCGATCGTTAATGAAACTGGGCTCAATTCTTCCCTGACTTCGAAGGTTACTTTACCGAGCATCCACTTGAACAGCCTCAAGTCTTGGACTAATATTTCAGGACTGGAGAGTGCAAGTGGCATTGGAACTTATAAGACCACTGTGGAATTATCCTTGGGCTCGTCAGATCAGAGCTCCGGAGAGACTCTTGCGGTCTTCCTCAACTTCGGTGATGTGGGGGGGAGTTGGGGCTTGAAGATCAACAATGTCCAGGTCAATGGAGTTGACTTCCTACGCTCGGCGCCTCTAGAAGTTACTTCTCACGTAAAGAGTGGCCCCAATGGTATGTGCTGTCTGTCTTGAGTGGCAGAGCTTTTGTTGACGTGACGAGCGGCAGACATTGAGATCACAGTTGCCACTACATTGTGGAACAAACTACGGAAGACGTGGCCTGCTATCTACGGGTCTCTAGAGGCACAGAAAGTCGGTCTGCTGGGCCCTGTTACTCTGACGTACTATGCTCAGAGGCAGATTTGACCATGCTTTTCGTATTGCAGGAGAGGGGGAAAGAGGCTGTATGTGTGAATTGGCTCGTTGTCCGTACATGTACGAGGCCGCCTGCCCGGCTGTTGAACCCTCGGGTAACAGCACCTTGGTAAGGCTCAGTGACCAATTCGGACTCAGCAGCCTGAATCTCATAGATCATTTCTCGTCTTTTGAGATTACGGCTCGGTGTGTTACCAGGAACGAGAATTCAACACGGCGCTCGTGCCAGTCCCCGCCATTGTCTTATCCACTACACGGCTACGTCGCCATAAAATGAAGCATGTTATGTAGTGCACATCCGCTGAGCAATAAGGTGTTTAGTCGAGCATTACGACCTTGTAGTTTCACGGTAGTTCAGGCACATGGTGTAAACATAAATGCGAGGTACAGCCGACAACATAGCCACGGAACGCTGTCGGTCTTTTGAACACAAGGCATCTTGTTCTGTTATGTCTGATACATTCAAAGCTCGATCAAGGCAGCTTTTCCAGGCCAGTTCCTCGCTTCATTGCTCGATCCTATGCGACACATATGAGCAATCAATCCATGTCGTAGAGAGACACAAGAATGGATGCACACGGTGGCACTAACCAGAATACCCGTCGGTATGTATTTGAAAACGACCTTTACCATGGAGGCCATAGCTCCGCGCCATACGGGACCTGAGGCTCCGCCAAGGATATCCTGCACAACCTGGCGAGCAAAGTCATCGGGTGCGCTCTTGTTCAAGACATCCTTCCCGGCACCGCGTGTTTGAATCTCTGGAAGCGCCTTGTGGTAGAGTGAGCCCTCGGGCAGGGTCAGGTTGGCGTGTGACATAACATTTGTGGCGACGGCGCCGGTGACAAGAGAGATGACTCGAATGTTAAAGGGCTGTAGCTCCAACCGAAGGGTCTCTTTCCAAGACATTAGAGCCGCCTTTGAGGCGTTGTAAACACCTGATGCAAAGTATCAGCGAGTAGACCCTCCTCATCATTCTACTGTACCGGCTTCTGTGGGAAAGACAGACTCATCCAAGGGGCGTACAAGAAGCCCGAAATAGAGCAGACGTTCACAATAGTGCTGCCATTGTCGGATACCAGCAGTAGGGGCATGAAAGCCTGGGTGACGGCGAGGACACCACAGAAATTGACATCGAACAGACACTTGGCCTTGTCAATAGAGGTGTCTAGCGCGGGGTAAACAAGGGACTGGCCGGCGTTGTTGATGAGGATGTTAAGGGTATCACCATGGGAAGCCAAATCTTGTCGAACGGTGTTGACAGCAGCCGCAAGGCTGATCGGATCGACGACGTTGAGAGCCACGAGAGTAACATTTGGAAGCTTAGCAAGATGCCCCATCTTGGCTGGGGAGCGAGCAGTAGCATAGACTCTCAGCCCTTGAGCGTGCAGCTCTTCCACCAGAGCCGAGCCGATTCCGCCGGCGCTACAGCCGGTTACAAGGGCGCAACCGGGCATCGTTCCCACAAGTATGGAAATCCAAACGGAAGAAGAGAAGGCGAAAAGTACCACTTAGAAGTGATGCACGGGGAAAATCCGAAAGTGATGCTGGAACTTTGTAGTTCTATCTTGGCCCCCCTTTTGCTTGCTTGTATATCCCCGGCGCCGCCCTCGCTAGGAAGGGAAGGGCAAGTTCCGGAATCGACTACGAAAAGAAGCTTAAAAGCCAGCGACTCATCCGGCTTTGTTCTGTCTGGGCAAGCGTCAAGGTGGGAATTCCATCAAGAATAGCATATTTTCCTTCCTCATAAGCTCGTATATGGAAAAGTCGACAAGGATTTAGTCTATCATCACGCTCATCCATACCAGGCGAAGTCGGGAATTTCCTGTTACGGTCATTCCCGACAGGCTGGGCTCGGCTGGGCTTACGGTTAGATGTGACAGTGCAGTCCCGGATAGTCTCGTCCGCAACTTAATTTTCTTATGGCCCGTCTATGACCAGTAGATGGATGGTAGATGTAGTGCAGAGTCTTCCCCTGGTCTGTCCTCACAATTCACCCACCCGGTTGACTGCCAACGGACGCCGGCGCCCGCGGTCTCGAAGCACCGCTGGACCTGGCGGATGACATTGTCGACCTCCGAGATCGGATCTCGGACATACCAGCCTTAGTAAGTCTCAGTCACGGACCGATTTATTCGGGAATTACCCAATAAGGCTTACCGCGATGGTGACTCGACCTCGAGTCAGCCCCGCAGTCAGTCCGATTCGGTTTGAGAGGTTTGTTATCGCATCAACTTGGAACATATCCGTTCACTCTCAACAGGCCATTTTCATAGACATTCTCATAAGACCAGGCTGGTAGCCCAAGCAATATACTGTACCTGCGAGGGTTGGACGGTCGGACGATTCGAATCGATTCTTTGAGCCCTGTGGGGTTCCACACGTGATTCCGAACAGATCCTCCGGCTAAGTTGCTGACAGAGATACAGTACGCCTGTCATGAACCAGTCTCACGCCCCGTGCGATCCATTTGAGTGAGATTTGAGCCTAGTCCTCGTGGTCGCTCACCCTCCAACTCCCCCATATTTAAAGCAGCCATTGCACACTAAGCTCGGTCTTCTCCCACCGATCGACACCTGCTCTTTGACAATGTTTGGAACCCTACGCTACCTTCCCAACAACCAGACCGGGGAGTTTCTCGAGCGCGCATCTGGGGAGGCTGGGACTGCGCTAACCAATAAACCTCGACACGCGGCTTGCGATAATTGCCGGGTGAAAAAGGTACGGGTGACCCCAATGCCCAAGGCATTCGAAGAAAGGACGAACAGAATAGAGCTGCTTGATCTTGTGCAATGGCTTTCTTCAGGTCCAAGCCATACAAACGGAAATGAATTGACAAACAGGCCCAGATAGATCCGCTGCAGTGGCCAAAAAGCAGGATGTTCGCGGTGCAAAACCCATTCCCTTCCCTGCAGGTACACTCACGCTCCTGCTTGGAAATGTAAGAAGAAGCCAGCGTTCAACTCGCGACGAATAATTCAGACAAATGAGGACGAGAACGCTTTGGAATTCAGTACGGCGCCCGGTCAATCTCTCCCCCCAGTCGCTACTATCACGGCTGTTATGCAGCCTGGCTCATTAACTACGGAACCACTACTGCGTATGCCGGGGGAGAATCATCTAGAACCGGACAGGCGAATGCAGCAGGACTCCGGGAACTCCAACGCAGTGGTGGATACAACGTTGGAGGAAATCTCAACGTGGTCTAGTTGCCTCGATTGGTCGCCGGCAAGGGAGGGCACTTGCATGTCGGAATCCAATTTTCTGATAGCAGACAATCCACTACTCTGCTCAGATCCACTTATTCCTGGGTAGGTACTATTAGCCCCGTACTCTGATTGTTGGGACAGCAATCGGCTGTCCAGAAATACGATTACTGATGGACGATAAGTACTAGCTACCCTGTGCCGGAAAATACTGCACAGCGGCAGCTGCCGCTGCCTCCCCTCGCCGATGGACTTTCCCCGCCGGGTTTTCTTCCAACTCCGCGGTTCAACTCGACCCACCATAACCGGTCAAGTAGTAATACCTCCGAGATTGCGGTGGAAGAGCAATCTTCATGCTTCTGCGTGAACTCTGCTGTCTTACTGCTAGATGAACTGCAGGCGCCATACTGTGACGGCGGCGGCTCTGGCGTGCAGAGTCTCGACTGCATCCTCTTAACTTACCGGGAGGTGCTCATTCTAAGTAAGCGCATGATCAACTGCGACACTTGCCGGGGAAAGTCGGAGAATATGATGGTGCTCACTATGGTGTTGGAAAGATTAGTCATTCTGTGTGGGGAAGTGATTGATGCTTTTATTGCCCGACAAGAAGCTAATGTTAATCAGCCTCAGCGGTTGATCTTGGGCGAGTACCAGATCGAGGAGGGGGACTATGAGGTCATGATGGGGATGCTGGTGACCCGCCGGCTATCGGTATTGCAATTCCTCCTCACTCGCATGAAGACGATCAGCGCGTCCACCAGCCGCCCTCACCAGCAGGCCAGAATGGCGCGCGTCGATCAGCATCTCAATTCCCTGTACCAGAAGCTCAGGTCCGTCTGCCCTCTGGTCACGAAATGGAAACTCGATGAAAGTCAGTCCCTACCAGAAGGGATTGTGAATTGAGTTCACCAGAGTAGTATTGGTAGCAGGCGCCGCGACGACCCATCAGGCATCAACCGATTAATGCCCGAGGCATCTAGGGACTATGGATGTACAATATGCCACCATGACATAGGTTGATACTGCGTGGTCATAATATAGTAAGGTAGCCTATTTGTTACTCAGACAGCCCAGAACCATTAAGCTACAAGAAGATGCACTACTCTGTACCGAAACATCCAGGCTGGTTTACAAAGTTTCGTAAAGAAGAATAGCCAGACGCTGCTTGTATTAGATCGTGCTTGAGACGCCCATGGAGGTATGAAAGTCAGCGTAGACCTGTACATACATACAGTAACTAAGATGACTCAGCAAGGAAATACAAAGATTACGAAGATCTTTTCTCGACCTAGAATGTCGCAATGAGTTCGAAAATGACACGTGAAAACCGCAGAGCGGAGTATAAGTTCTACCTTATCATACCCAAAATCGCGACAGCAGTAAGATTGCGCAGGATCTGACTTCAGATTGGTGGATTCAACAACTTTCACAGGTCTAAATTACTACCACCGCCCTTCCACCGGGGCCCCCTCTAGGATTGGTTGACCAAAGATCATCCACCTGCATGAGCCAGAAAAGTGTGGTATCACATCATTATGATGCCCCATAGTATCTCGTGCCTGGGTTGAGTTTTAAGACACGATCCTTTAAAAGCTCATGTCGCCGAACATGATTTACAAACAATTCAACTGCAAGTGTGAACATTGAACAAGTAAGATGAATGTTAATTTGTACTAGTTATGGCGCCCTTATGGCTGAGTAATATATGCCAGTCTCTTTCTATACAGTGCGAGGCGTGTAATATTGGTTCAGAACTGTATTCCAGGGATAAGGATGACGCTCTCTCCGCCAATTAGAAAATTCCGACCCGGACAAGATATATTAGCTGTGGGGCAACACCACTGCAGGCTCCGAAGGCTGGAACCTGGAAAGTTTCCAGGGCAGTTGTACTTTTTTGACTGGATGATGCCCTGACAGCCAGTCAGATTGCCTCCGTTTGCCCACCCACCTTTCCATTATGCTGAGATGTTTTCCAACGGGTCTGAACTCGTGAAAATGCATCCGAATGACTTCTTGTCAGGCAGTCACCGACAAGTTGCAAATATCGATCCAAACGTTTTCTGTATGTGTTACCTAGCCAAGCTGACACGGTATGTGTCGGCAAGGGAGCTACTCTCTCCACTCATCCAAGTATAAATCGGCCCATCTGTCACACGAGTTTATTCTGCGGCTTCTCTCTTCTTTCTAATTCACCTTGCAATACCAAATTGACAAGATGGAAACCTCTAATCATTTTGGAGCTCTGACTCCCGCGGCTGAGGTCGCCGCGGCGTTTTCGAATTCGATCAAAGGCAAGACCATCATCCTTACTGGTGTCTCTCCTAAAAGCCTGGGGCTTGCAACTGCCTCCGCCTTCGCATCCCAGTCCCCAGCAAACCTCATTTTAACCGGACGGTCTGCCGAAAAGGTCGAGGCTTCCATCAATGACCTGAAATCAAACTACCCGAATATCAAGTACCATGCTCTGATTATGGATCTTGCGTCTCAATCCTCGGTACGAGCTGCTGCGGCCACAATCAACGACGATGACTCGATACCCACTGTTGATATCATTGTCAACAATGCGGGAGTCATGGCCATTCCTGACCTGAATCTCTCCGAGGATGGTATTGAAATAACATTTGCAACAAACCACATCGGCCATTTCCTTTTCACCAACCTCATTCTACCAAAGCTTATCAAGGCCGCTCAGACTTCTTCTACCCCAACCAGAATCATCAATGTTTCATCGTTTGGACATCAATTCTCTCCGGTACGATTCTCCGATATCAACTTCAGCAAACGCCCTAGCGATCTTCCTGAAGAGGAGCGTCCAGATTTACAGAAGACCGAGTTTTTCACTGGCAACAGTCACGCCGACGACATCTACTACGGATTCTTCTCTTATGCTCCGTCCAAAACAGCAAATATCCTTTATTCTGTTTCTTTAAACCAAAGGCTGCAGGAAAAGTATGGTATTACGTCGTTCGCCGTGCATCCTGGAGCGGTCAACACTAATATCAACCGACATGCTACCCCAAGCGATATTGAGCAAGCACACAAGAGGGTCAAAGAACTTGGCTTTGACCCTACTCAGAAAGCCATTGAGCAGGGAGCAAACACATCTGCTTTCGCCGCGATCGCTACCAACTTGCCATCTGTGAATACCTCGGAGACCCAAGTCAAGGGGGTCTACCTTGCGGACTGCGAAATTGATGATGCAAATGTTGCAGCTTTTGCTACAAACAGTGCTTTTGCCGAAAGACTTTGGACCTTGAGCGAAGAGCTGGTGAAGCAGAAGTTTGAGCTTTAGGTCGCCTTGGGAAATATACTCTATATAGAAAAATAACAAGTCTAAATGTTTGATAAACAGAGTATAATAGGAGTATCAGAGTCTTTAATAAATAGAATTTCTTATTCTAATTTTAGTAATAAAGTGGCTAACGGCCAGGTCAGATTAGGTTAATTAGAATTTTTATACCTGACCGCCAGATTATAGTTAGATTAAGAAAATTTTTATATCTAATTATAGTATAGCTAAAAACCGGACAGTTAACTATTTTAACTATTTTTAATACTAAAACCTATCTACTATACTTTTTTAGTTTTAGTACAGTTAAAATATACCTAAATTAAATAATTATTAATCTAGCTATCTAAATTATTGCTAAAAAATATATAAAAAAAAATCTTTTAGATAAAAGAAAAATAATTTAGAAAAAAATAGTATTCTTATTATTTATATTTTTATAAGATAATAAGAAAATCCTAGTAGTCTTAATAAAATTCAGCTTTTTAAAAATTAGTTATTATTATAGTATAAAATATAAAAAAATATAATTATAATTTTATTTAGATTATATATTTTAGTTATAATATACTATATTATTAAAACTATATATTTACTTTTAGTTAGACTATTAAAAATAATTATATAATTTTTAGTTTATTTTTCATTTTTTTAATTTGAGTTTAGATAGTTTATTAATTTATTTTTTTTATTTATAAAAACTAAATTATATTTTATAAATTAAACTTTTAAATTAAATCTATATTATTTTATCTACTTAGTTTTTATTAATAACTATATTTACTAGAAACTATCTAATCAAAGATTAGATATTAAAATACTAAATCTTAATAAATTTTTATAAAAGTTCTTTTAAAGCTTTTTTATACTCTAATTTATTTTATTAATTAAGTTTTATTGAAAAAAAGAATATTTTCTATATTTTTAGATTTTAAATATAATTTTTTATTTATAAAATAGTTAGATCTAAAAAATACTACGGATATCTATAGTAGTATATAAAAATATAATAAATTATATTTATATAAAAATATATTTATAATTAAAACAATACTATTTTTATAAAGTTTTTCTATTTTTATTTTTTATATTTATTATTTATAGAATAGTCTTAGAGTTATAAGTCAACTATAGTTATTTAATTTATTTTTAGAGAATAATATTAATTTTTTTTTTTAGATTTTTATAAACTATAATAATTCTTAAACTAAAGTAAGTTTTTTAAGCTAGTTCTTTTTACCTTTATAAACCTTAAAATTACATATATTATAAAAAATCGAAAGATTATTTTATGTTTATTTTTGTAAAATAGAATTTCTATTTTTTAGAATTAATAATAAAAAATAATCTTTTTTAAAGCTTATATATATATTTAAAAACTGCTATTTATCTTCGGTCGGAAGAAGTTATTAATAATAGAAAATAGTTTTTAAAAAAATATATTATTTTTTAATAGAACTTCTTATATCTATTATAAAGTATATTTTCATATTTTATAATATTTAAAATTTAAAAATTTAGAAACTAATTCTATAAGCTACTATCTTTATAAAGATTATAAAAAAAATATTATTAGTTGTATCTAAATAAATAATTATTTAAATACTAAATAAAAAACTATTATAAATATTTTCTTATTTTTCTAAAATAAATCTTTTTTAATAATTATTTTTTTCTAGGCCTTTATAGTTTATAATAAACAGAGTTTTTAGAATTAAGTTTTATATTTTATAATTATTTATTATTTATTCTTTCAAATAGTGAAAGATATTTAATTTAAATAAATAATGAATCTTATTATTTTATCTTTCTATTAAAAACCAAGTTCTTCTAATTAAGTACAGATTAAAAAATATCTTTTAGAATTATTAAACAAGATATATATATAGTTATTATTAAAATTCTTAGATATTAAATATATATTAATTATAATAAACTGTTTGACTAGTTCTAATTAAAAGATGTTTTTTATTTTAATTAAATATTTTTTAATAAAAAATATAAATTATTATAAAGTTTTACTGGGCTTCCGACCAGTATCTAAATTTTATATTAATAAAAATCTAGCTGTAATTATTTTATTAGTTTTATATAAATATAATCTTTTTTATTAATTATTAAATATAATAATTAATAATATTAATAATAATAGTTTAATATTTATTATAATCTTATTTAAGCTCCGGACTCAGCTTAATTAAAGTATTTAGCTTTATAATATTTTAATTAATTCTAATTTTTTTAAGATTATTTAAAACCAGTATTATATTTTTTATCTTATCTATATAATTTAGTTTATAATTAATATTCTTCTGAAGAAACTCCGGATTAAGACTTTAAATAGTATTATTAAATATATATAAAAGAATAATAATAATAATTTTAAAATCTTTTTTTAATATTTTAAAAACTTTTAAAAAAATATATTCTAAAAATTATTTATCTAGGGTTTACATTAGGGTTTACATTAGGGTTTACATTAGGGTTTACATTAGGGTTTACATTAGGGTTTACATTAGGGTTTACATTAGGGTTTACA